CTTATTAACAATCTACAATATGCAGATGACACACCTTATACTTGCTGGAAGTGAGGAAGACTTGAAGCACTTGCTGATTAGATTCAAGGATTGTAGCCTTCAGGTGGATTAGAATTCCATGTAAAGAAGATAAAAATCCTTACAACTAGTCCAATGGGTAACACGATAAATGGAGAAAAGACTAAATTTGCCAAGGATTTTGTCTTGTTTAGGTACATAATCAATGCTCAAGGAAGTAACAGTCGAGAGTAAATCTGCTGCATAAGACTTCTTTAAAGTGTTGAAAAGCAAGGATGTTACTTTGAGGAATAAGGTGTGTCTGACTCAAGTCCTGGTATTTTCTATTACTTCAAATGCATGTGAAAGTTGGGTATCAATTAAGGAATATCAGAGAAGAATCAATGCATTTGGATTGTGGTGCTATTAAATAATATTGGAATTGCCATGGACCGCCAACAGAACAAACAAATGTGTCATGGAAGAAGTACAGCCAGAATGCTCCTAAGAAGCAAGGATGGCTAGACTTCATCTCATGTACTCTGGATATGTCATCAGGCGAGACCTGTCCCTGAAAAGGGCATCATGCTTAGTAAGACCCTGGGCAAGATAGGTTCACATAGTGGCTGCAACAATGGGTTCAAATATAGGAACAATTGTGAGTATGGTGCAGGATTAGGTGGTGTTTTTTTGCACTTGAAGCCACTATGAGTCAGAACTAACTTGAGGGCACCTAACAACAATGACCTTGGACAATCCTGGGGCTTGTTATAAAGAAGTTCAAAGAACACTGAAAATTCCATTGGTGAAGAAAGGCCAAGGACTCAATATATCTTCCAGCCTTGAACTTTTCCCCAAACTCCAAGAACATTGAAAACAATACAACTTGAGTGTCTCAAGGATACCCAAACTGCTATTTTGATGTAGGGTCATGGAAGAGCAAAGAATGTTTCGGAGAAAGGTTAGACAAATGTAAACATTGCTTTCAGTAAATGGGAGTATATTTCTAGAAATAATAGCTCCACGTTTTTGATATTTTTGTCTAATAAAGGTTTCTATGGTCTGTGACAAGACTTTTTGACTTGGAGGAGTCCTGGTGGTGCAGTGGGTTATGAGTTCTGTTGCTAACCTACCCTTGTCACAAAATATTTCTACAAGGTGTACCCCCCCAAAATGGAAAAAAGCTCCGCTGGGCAAAACTTTTGTAGTATGCATTTTTCCCACTAGGCCAGTATAGAGAAACTCGTTCTGAGTTAGTGCACCCAGTGGCGTCACCTGGGAAGGTTCTCCCTGGTCACAGTGAATTTTTTCGTAAAAGCAGTTTGCTTAGAACCTCTTTTTTTTTGTGAAGGCCAATTTAAGAGGACAGTGTGTGGTTGTGAAATTTTGTTTCCTGCTGGGAAAAAATGCCACAGAAACTTTGTAATGTTGAACACAGCTTACAAGGACAGCGCTATGGGAAAAACACAAGGGTACATACAAGTGGTTTTCTCATTTCAAAAAAAAGGTGAACTGTCAATTGATGAGAAACCTCATTCTGGACGTCTATCAATTTCCCCAACAGATGGAAAATTTAAAAAGTCCTGATTTGTGGCAGGCGATTTTGCTACCATAACAATGCACTTGCTCATGCTGCCATCTCAGTCCATGAGTTTTTGACAAAAAACAGCATGCCTCTTTTGCCCCATACACCTGACCTCACTCCATGCAACTTCTTTTTGTTTCCATAAATGAAGAGGGACATGAAAGGACAGTGATTTAAGATGTAGAAGAGGTGAAGAAAAACACAAGGGAGGTGCTGTCAGCCATCCAAACAGATGAGTTGGAAAAAATCTTTCCAAGAATGGAATAACAGATTTGACAAATATATTAAGTAATCATGAGTGCTTTGAAATATATTAAGTAATATATAAATATATTAAGTAATCATGAGTGCTTTGAAGGTAATAAGGTTGTTTTGTTAAAAAAAAATTAAATACATAGCTTGGAAAAAAAATATCTGTTTTTGGGAGGGGGTACCCCTCAGATATATTACAATCAATGTAAATGTGTTATATATCTGTGTGTGTGTGTGTGTGTGTGTATAAATATATATAATGAAGGTCTCTGGGTGGTGTAAATGGTTTTCATTGTACTACTAATCTACAGGATGCTGAATTGAACTTACTGAGGGAAAAAAAAGCCTTGAAAGCTGCTTCCATAAAGACTGTCAGCAATAAAAACTTATAGAATGGTTTCACTCTGTACCACATGGTGTCACCATAAGTCAGAATCAATTCGACCACACCAGGCTTGGAATATGGACACACACATCTATAGGTACACAGACACATGTGTATATGTGCATATGTAGGTGTGTTGTGTTGCTGTTGCTGGCTTGGCTGCCCTGTTGATTCTGACTCAAATGCAAAAGCTCCTTTGGATCACCAGGTCTGCATTCTGAGGCCTCTCTAGGTTGCTTGAACAACAATTTTACAGATGATAATCCAGTGCTTAACATTTGCATCACCCCTGTGTGTAGCACAAGGCAAAATCAGTCAAAGAAAAACCAAGTACATAATGCAATCTCAAATTCAAAAGAGTGCTTCTTTTAGAAGGCAGTGAGGTACACCTCTCATTAATTTCTGTAAGGATGTATATACAGCAGAGACTTATTCACGTTTGTCAAAAATGAATTAAACATAACTGTGAATATAATATGTGCTGTAATGTTGTATCCCTTTTTAATTTGCATTTTCAGCAGTCTTTAATGATAGAGTATATAACTCTTCTTCCCAACCAAAGATAAAAAAGATTCAATTATTCCCCAGTTCTATAATCTATTGCAGATTCCTCTTATATATCAGAATTTCATTACTGCTGGAAAAGATAAAAAGACAGCATACAGTAAAAGATCTTATGATCAATAATCAGCAAGTCCAAAGAACTAGGAGAAATGCATAAAAATACATTGAGTTTCATAATATATAGCTTCATTATTTTTAAGCAGAATTCTGTCATTTTTCTAACAAAACAAGGTCTCCTTTTAACAAAACATGGAGCAGACACATCAGTAAAATCTGTGAAAAGCTCTGTATCAGAGACATGTAAAATTAAAGTGTTTTATCAGAAAGTGATTGGAATTGACATTATTCTTTAAGAAACATGCTACTAGATATACAGTCCAGGATTTACAAAAATTTTGTGATTAATTGCACATGTGGAAATTGTAGACACATATTCAATTTAGTTGAACAGCTTTTGTAAGTCTTTAAGACATTATTTCTTTGAAAATTTAACTCAACTATAAATGAGTATATAGTTAAAAGCCTTGTCCCACATCCTGTCTTTTTCTTTGGCTCCCCAATATACTTGAAGCACAATAGTCACTATATTACCAAAGGAACCACAGAACAGAGCAATGAGAATAATATAGATCTATTCCAAAGAATAGATAACTAGATCTAGTTATCTGAGATCTAGTTATAGATAACTGAGATCTAGTCTTTGGAAATAGTCGACATATATTGTCATTAAATCTATTTAGGATACCCTAGTTTATAACAAAAAGTTTTAAAATTCAAGTTGTAGCATCACAATAAAAAGGATTCACCTATTTTTCTTCCTTCTATTGAGTAGATTTTCAGTTTATATAAAACTCAAACATCAAGAAAATAAACTTATCTACTCCTTGAGTCTTTTATTTGATCACTGAAGATCCTTAAGGTTCAACAAATAAGACATATAAAGTGCCATGTTAAGATGCCATACTGCCCAGCAACAACACACATGTAACTCATAGTTACATAGTACACCAAGTTGGTAGCTATCACAGGTATTAAAAATAATACTTATATCATCAAAAGTCAAAAACCCACCAAAAATAAGCAATAATGGATTGTGCTGTGTGGTAGGACAGTTGTAAAATGACATTGTGTGCTACACTACAGGGTGGAGTAGTAGGGTAAGGATGATGTCTTTGTTTTCTCACTGAAAACAGTTTTGCTGGCACTGGAATCATCAATACAAAGGAACGAAGGAGTTTTTCCTCAGGTCTGGACCAAGCACCCTGTTTGTACCAATCACTGTCTAGCTACCATTGCTCCTTCTGTGGCAGTTAGACCCTTACAAAGAAGTGATTCTTTGGCTGAATAGCAACAACCTAAACTCAACATGCAATGGGAAACAAGATTTTGCAATTACTTGAATGGATTTAGTTCCTGGTAGTAGTCACTGAAAACATCATGACTAATTAAGCAGTGCTGTAAAATATTACGTAAAACATTACATAAAGAATATGTATAAAACTTGTACATTCCCCCTAGATTCATTATCTTTTAAAGCAGTGAGCTAAAGGTCTGAAGTATTGCAAGTATCCTTAAAACGAAACTTCTAGGCAAATAATACTTGCCACCATCTCCTTTATGTTGCAAAAGAAAATCCTAAGGGAGAAAAACCATCATGAACCGAAATTCAAGCAGTTCCCTTGGGTTTCTTTTCTTCTGCTCCTGGGGTGAGTCAAGACTCATTTGTTTCACATTCCTCCTGATGAAGTCTTCTCCGTGCAAGACCAGTCCAGACACAAGTCCACTGGCCCCCTGGAGCCTTTTACCTCTTGCCCTCAGTCCCCGCATCTGACAGCACACAGCAGCACGTTTCCGGTTTGGCAGCCCAGAAGTAACAGAGCTCCAACCTGAAGCAGCAGCAGGCCCCGCACAAGAAACCAACAGGACATCTACCAAAACAGACAGGCTAACAGACTTGCGAGGTCCATTAGAACCCTACTTCTCATTCGAGAAAACCCGGGGCCAGGGTGGCGGGCTGTCGGCGGGGCAGAGCCACCCTGCCCGGCTAAGTGGAGCTGCAGGTCCGCCAAGGTGGGGACAGTGACGCAGCGAAGGCGTTCACCTGTGGGCCAGCGATCCAGCCCCGCCCCCAGGGATCGCGGCCATCCAGTAACCCCACAGCCCCCCAAAGACGGAGACTTGTAAAGCTGGGCCCCTCCAGCTAAGCCTGACACTCACCGTCCACGGTCTTCTTCTTGAAGAGGGACGCCATGGTCGGGGACCGCGCCCGAGCGGCCCGATCCGGCCCGGTTCGGCCCGCAGCTGGGCGAGGCGGGAGGCGAAGGACAGGCCCTGGAGGTTTCCAGAGGGCCGGGGCGCTGAGCAGGCAGAGAGGGTGGGGTGGCGAGCAGGGACCCCAGAAAGGCGGCTAGTCACCCAACTACCGCAGTCTCGTCGCCCGGAGCTCAGGTGACCGGGAACTAAGGCACTTTTTGGAGAAGTCACTTCTCGGCGGCGCCTGCGCACTGTGATCCGGCGCCTGCGCACTCGGGACTGTGAAGCCGCCGCGCTGCCCTCAGCTCCGCTGTTGCCCGCTCTTTGGAACCGCGGGGTCTTGCGGGGCGAGCCCGGGACTTTGGGGGATCGGTGGGTGGGAGAAGGTGCGGGCGGTGTTTGGGGACTTCTTTTCACGCGTGCGGTTCTCTTGCTCACTGCGATGACCTCTGGCCAGCGCTTTTCTGTGAGCCCTGGAGATTCCCGGAGTCCGCAGACCAATGTGGATCGTCCTGGGACACATTCTGGGTTGATTTAGGACATCCCGTCGCTGTCTCCATTGACCTGGTGTTGGTATGGGGGTACTTGCAGGGGCTGATGTTCATGCGCAGCTTGCACCCAGAGCTCACGCCCTTTTGCGCCCCGACTCCGCGCCCACCTGCAGCAGGGGCCTCCGGGGGCGCAGCGGCCCCGCGGCGGGTGTCCTGGGGGAGCAGGGGTGGGGGTGGGCTACGATGTCTAGTGTTGAGGATGCGGGACCAAAGTGAACAGGGAACAGTTTTCTTAGTGCAATACTTTTGGAATATTCTTGATTGGGGACAGGGAAGGGGTAGCACGACGGGGAAAATGTGTATACCGTTTTAAATGTCTCCTTAGCAATTTGATCTCTTTGCATTGCTTATGAAGAAAATTTCATTCGTGTACTGTGAACTTAGTAAAATGCTATCTTTCTGTATGTTGGTGTTTGATTTTTACCGTGGAAAAATGGTAAAAATTGAAAAGCAGAATCAATAAAACAATCCTTGCTTGCGTGTATATATAAGCTTACATGGGGGGGCGCTTTTTGGATCAAGACTAAGTTCATATTTAGTCGTGTGCTTAATATATTGCTTCACTATTCAGACCTTGAACTTTTTCTCACCAATTTATTGGGATCATAAAAAACTGCCTTCCGACAAAATACCCATTTATAAACTATCAAGGGCTCATGCGGGAGGGGGGAGCGGGGAGGGAGTGGAAAAATGAGGACCTAATGTCGGGGGTTTAAATGGAGAGAAAATGTTTTGAGAAACGATGTACAAATGCGCTTTACACAATTGATGTGTGTATGGTTTGGGATAACAGTTGTATGAGCCCCTAATAAAATGTTAAAAAAAAAATAAGAGAAGAAAAGAAAGAGCAAAAAAATAAATGAAAAACAAAACAAACAAAACCTGCCTTCCACAGGGTAAACAATATTTATTTCATAGATGTAATTGCAGTTCCAGACATCCCAGTAATGGTGTCACTGTTAACAGTTCTAGATTTATAAACTCCTATCTCCAGCCTATTTATGTATTTAAGATAACCAAAATGTCTTTCCCAATTTTTTTGTCCTATAAGAATCCTAGATAACAAAGCCACCAATAATATGGCTGCTCAGATGATAACTAAAAATCTGCTTGTGAACAATTTTCTCAAAATGACACAATAATGTGCAAAGTAGACTTATATTACTCAGCAAGTGTTTCTAGATCTTGTAGGAAGTTAAGGTAAAAATAAAACACAAGACAGCCTTTGCACCTCAATTCTGACCTTTCCTGGAGCCAGCTATGTGGCAAAAGGCAGCTTGCCCTGGCTACATGTTAAAATGAATGGCATAGAGCTGCACTGGAATGCAGGAGAGACAATAAGCTGTTATGTGTGTAGTAATCAACTTCTCCCTGGTGCACTCACCCTTGTGTTATTACCCTTACACTATCCCCCCCACTGACCCAATTGTACCAGTTGGTAAAATGCCAAAATACTTAGCAGCAACCATATGGAAGACCCTCCAAACGTGCACAGCGGGAGCTCAAGACAGGGCTTGTTCATTATAATAAAAACAAAATAGAAATAAGTACTATTTAAGTCAAGCAGTGTAATAGCTTGATTCTTCCATAGTTGGAAGCAGGCTTAAATGCATTCAGCTGGTATACACTAACCTGGTTGCCTTCCATTCAGATTCATTGGCGGTCTAACTGCACCAGCACATACTTTGAATGTCACTTCTTATTTAAAAGAGTTCTGATGGCATCTATAGAGGGATGGCATATATCCCACTCTATAAGACTCATTGACAGGTTTTAGAAGAGGGAACACGATTCTTTAGATAAGAATTGTGAACTATGTAATTTACACTGTACATTGTATACTGTATTTTTAATGGGACACTCTATTAACAATTTTGACAACATAGTCTTTGAATGGTATCAGATTTTTAATTAAAACTTTTAGCTTTTTTTTTCTTTTAGCATAAATCCTGACTCAATCCTCCCTATCCTATATTGGGAATGGATCGTTGTAACCAAAATAGAGCTTATATGTCTTTGCACTCATCGACCTGTACCTTTTTGAGGCGCTGTAACTATGAATTAATTCATATTAAGCTGATCCTTTCCTTTGAGGCACGTTAGGCCTGATCTGGTTTTTAACATTTTCTGTATTTTTTTGTTTGTTTATATTGGGGTTTATCTCAGATGTGTTTATCATTGGGGTCACCTCTTGAAATTCTGTTATATGTTTTACTGCTACTGATCTTCAGGTTATGAAACCCAGGAATGATGAACCCATAGCAAGAGCAAGTAGAGATAGGGTTTCAGGGGAGGTACAGTGGGGATGGTGGTTAGACCGGTACAAAGGAGCTGATGTCAAGAAGTTCAGGAAGGAAAATCATATTTTGAAACTGATTGTGATAACAGTTGTACAATACTGCTTGATATGATTGAACTATGGAATATGATATCTGTAATAACTCCCAATAAAATGGTTTTGAAAAAAAGAGATGCCTGTGTTCTATTTTTAATTTTTCACTTGCAGTAACCATAAAAAAATTAAGCGGCATGTTGTAATGTGTTCTTAGATAAACAATATCCAATTCAAATGATCCGTTTTTGCTTTTCCAAAAATGAATAAAACAATTCAGAAATCTATTTTTGATTATCTTCTGGAGTTTTCCATAATATTGTTTCTTTTCTTTAACAACAGAATATTTGCCATTTTTCACCTTTTTTATATCATGGAATGCGATTTGAAGAAATGCACAGAACTACAATAACATTCTATTCTTTTCCATTTATGTTACCACAAAAGTGCTGACTCTGGACATAGAACATTGTGGGTCTATAACCAACTCTTACTCTCCAGCTAGTAGACCTGAACTAAGTCACAGTCACTCCACGCCCTTGTTTTCTCACATGTAAAATGAAATAATCATATTACCTTAGTTTGGTTGTTTTAAGAATTAAGCAAGTTAAAATACATAAAACACTCAAAGTAGTGTGGCCACATAAATATACCCTAAAATGGTATTATTCTCAGTTCTCTTTTTATTTCCTTAATAGTAATCGCTCCACTTAGAAATGTTTTCTTCTATAGTAGAGGAAAACCTGAGATTGAAGATTATGTTTTCTGATTCAAATCTCTATGAGCCCCAGTTGGTCTCATTTCTTTCTCCTTTACTAAAAATAACCCAAAACTGTAGGCTTATAATAGAGGAGGAGGAAGAACTCAGAAAAGGGCAGTGAAAATGGTTGCCCAACTCAAAGAATGTACTCAACGTGACTGCATTGTCCATGTGCAAACTTGAATTGGCATGTGCATTTGCAGTATACTCAACAGTAAAAACTTAATTATACAACGATAATCCATGGTTTCCTAACTTTAATCTGTTATTTTCTGTAGGAGTTGCAGGAATTTACATGTGACACTGGATTGCTTTGTATGAAAATCATTCATTATAGGCCTAGTTGCATGAGTCTTTTCTCCCCAACTCCATATTCTAAACTTGAGAGTAAAGAAGAGATCTCTGGAGGCCCAGAGGAGAGGCATTGTGCTTCTCAGAACAAAGTTAACGGTTCAAACCCACCTTGCCTTCTGTAGGAGAAAGGTGAGGCTGGCAGCCCCTGTAAAATTTAAGTCTCAGAAAACCTAAAGCAGCTTTACTCTGCACTATAGGGTAACTTGTAAGGAGTCAGGGTCTACTTTCATGTGGCTATGATTTGGGAACAGAGAGCATATTCTATTCAATCATTTTCCTACACATATAAGTACATGGAATAGAAACTTTGTAATGCAAATGAATTTTTATATCACTTATACCTGAGTCCTATTGGCATGATGACAGTGAGTTTGGTTTTTTGAGTTTATGTCTCAGTATTTTTAATGCCAAAATGACACAAAGTATATGAAGTACACTTGTATTGGCTTGACACATTCAAATTTCCATGTATCCGAAAGGCAGCCAACATTATTCACTACCATAAACAACATAGGAATACTCCTTTAGACTCACACAATAGTTGCCTTGCCTTTGGGGGAAAATTAATATGGATTCCCCCACTTTTTGTTTTTTATCTCAGTTCAAATTTGAGCAGACTGCAATCTACTTAAGTGACCACCTTACAGCATATTTTGCTTAATATTTAATAATGCTTTAGCAAAAAACATGGCTATCCATAAGCAAAATTATGAATAATATGTCTACATGGGATTTTAAATATTTCTCAGTGCCATACATATTTAGAACAAAAAGAGTCAAGAGTCATTTTCAAGTCAAAAGACAACTCATTTCTTTTTTTTAAATCATTTTATTAGGGACTCATACAACTTTTATCACAACCCATACATACATCAATTGTGTAAAGCACATTTGTACATTCATTGCACTCATCATTCTTAAAAAATCTGCCCTCAACCCAAGACCCTGCCATCAGCTCCTCATTTTTCCCCTACCTCATGAACCCTTGATAATTTACAAATTATTAGTTTGTCATATCTTGCACTGTCTGACGTCTCCCTTCACTCACTTTTCTGTTGTCCATCCTTCAGGGAGGAGGCTATATGTAAATTCTTGTAATAGGTTCCCTCTTTCTAACCCACTCTCCCTCTAAGCTCCCAGTATCACCACTCACACCACTGGTCCTGAAGGGATCATCTGCCCTGGATTCTCTGTGTTCCCAATTC